ATGTTAATATAAGGTAATGAAGGCAAGGGATGTGTGTAAGGAAGCCTATTGAAGATTCCAACAATCTTGATTATAGTTTTGTTGCTTTTTTTCATCTTTCTTTACCCCTTGTGCTAGCATCTCTGCCCAGTTCAAAAGATTATGAGAGAGACCAGCTAGAGCAGAACTGGGCAGAACCTGGAGTTTTGACCAATCACCAGGGGCTGATTTTTAAAAAGTGTGGACTTCTAGGGAAGTCCAAGGGTAGCTGACCGGTGAATAACTAAGCAACAATGCAAAATAGGACTCCAAGGCTGTCTAGCAACAGACATGGGTAGAGATCCAAGATGGAGGGCATCTGGTAAACACAGGAGGTCACATGAATCTCCAGTCTTGAGCCTTAGAAATGGAAGAGCTGGCAGGACTCTAAGAGAACCTATTGTAGGGTGCTCAGAACAGGGGTGCTATACAGGAAAACAAGACAATGAGTTGTACTTGGGCACGTGGGCAGGATGAAGCACATTAAACTGGACTAGGAGTTAAAGCCTTGTCCTATGAAATCAACCTTGAGCCCAGCCTGGAGAAATGAGAAAAGAGTTTGTCCAGGGGCCAAGGGGACTTCACGCTTGGCTGATGAACTGCTGGTCTACAGCTCCCTGAATTCCCCTTACCCAAGGTCAAGATGAGTTCCAGTCATGTCAGGGCTGGACCTGTAGGTTGGGGTTAAGTGGTTCCAGCTTCTATATAGAGGCAGGAAGCCAAAAGGATCATTACCATAAGTATTTTTTTTTTTTCAAATTCACAATTCTACTTTCCTCCCTCAACTACAATTTTGTTATATGGACATGTTCTAAGAGTATGTGCAGAGGATAAAGATTAAATAAACTTTTCCAAGTAAAACACAGTTAAAGGCTACTGCACTGTGGCCAAAAGACTTTCTGTAAAGGTCAAAAGTACTTACTGTAGAGAGCAACTAAAGGCATTTGTTGTTCTTTTATGCTCTAGAATATCTAATACTATGTAGAACACATAATATACTTTAAGTGAGTGCGTATCAATACATACAAGAAAATCGTAGCTATGAGAGAGGTGTATAATTGATATGATATTTGAAATATCACTACTGTCCCCATTCTAGCTTATTTTAAAGCGTGCACTGATTTTAATTTTTTAAGCTTCTGCAAAACTTTATTCTTGTTTTCTCTCTTTAAAATTGTAAATCTTAAATATTTAGAAGATATCTTGCTGTCATATAATATCTGATATTCACACACATGCACATAGGTACACAAATACACACAAACAGAGACTTCCAATGAGAAAACCCTGAAAAAGGAGTTTGGGGAGTGCTGTGTTAACCAACATATTGCTGAGTTAGCGACTAAATAACCAGCTACATACATCCCTTTTGTATCATCGAGTAGTGTGCATTCTTAAAGTGATAATGGAACTAAATTTGGAGAGAACAGGCCCTTAAGTTTCAATTTATTTGTTTCACAATCACAGCCTCAAACTGAAGGGAAAATTACGCTGCAGTTTGATAAATAAAGCACTATACATTCAAAAACAAAATGCAAAATGAAAACTTTTAGAACTTCAAATAATCAAGGATCTTAGATTAATTCCATCAGTGGTTGAGAGTTTTTTGTTGTTGTGAATTTGCCGGAGAATTTAGTATGAAAGCACTCTAACTAGTGTCTGATTATATCAGTGTCTCTATTTCCTTTTAGAACACACATCTGTTGTTGTGGGGGGTTTTTGGAGAGGAGAGTGTGGTTGTGGTTATTATGGAAATACGGCAAAACCAAATATTTTAAAGCAGATGAGAAGAAACCCACAAACAGTTGGCTCACAAATGTTGTAATGCTTTCCACACCCAGGCATAAAGCAAGCCACAGCGGCAGCAGCAGCAGCAGCACTCCTGGTGGCCTCTGTTTTATCTGTTTCAAACACTGGGCTGCTCCTGTTAGTTAACTGACTGGAGATTGTTTTCTCCCTTTATCCCCTCTCTCTCTTTTTAATTGTTGTTACTCTGTTTTGCCTGAAAGCTGCAGTATCTCACTGTTCATTATTCCCTGTTCAGTCAAATCCTGTCCAAAATTAACTCATTGTGTGCTGGAGTTCTTTTCAAGCTCTCTTTTCTTACAAGATGCACAAAATAGACCTCACTGGAGCTCTTTTAAGAAGTTTGCATCTCATACAGATAATTCTTTGAATTCACTCAAAGCTGACTTTACTGGGCTGTGTTTCTTTAATATTTACAACTTCTAACTAGAAATATTTCTAATTACTAATAAGAAATGGTTATGAAATTCTAAAGTTTCAACCATTTTAATCCTTTCTCTCTCTTTCTCTCTCCCTCCCTCTCTCTTAAATAAACCTAGTTCTGCAGACCCTGTTTTGACTTTAGTTTCTCTTTTTTATTTTGCTTGGAAAATTTTAAAAGAGTCTTCGAGTCTCCAAACTAAAGCTGTAAGACAGAAAAAAAAAAAAAAGCCATCAGTCAGTACAGCTGGGGAACTAGTTTCTCATATCAGCATCAAATTCCAAGGTATTCAAATTGAATTAAGTGCAGCCATCAGAAAAACCATAGAAATAGGAAAGTTGCTGTTGTAAATTAATGCTTATTTGCTGTGTGCGTTAGAGTTGCTGTTTGCACCACATTTTATTGTGATGTTTTATTCTTATTCAGTGCAACAGTAATTGGGTCCTAAACATGATAAAGTATCTTAAAGGCTGCATTGGTAGCTGAGCTGCCTACAGCAGGTTTTTAACTCTAGTTAAAGAAGGTTAATCAAAGCTAATGAATCTGTTTTATCCATTGCCACGAGTTTTTAAAAAAATGTCCCAGGAGGTGACTGAACTAAAATCCGAATTGTTCAGCTGTGAACGCAAATACATTTTTAGCATAATGATTTTGCAAGCCTCTTGGATGGCCCTGGGTCCGTGGATGGCAGGTACCTGCAAGCTCTGTACGTTTCTTACCTTTCCACCACTGCTCACTCTTCTGCCATTAAAAAATATGAGCCTTATGAAAATACAGGACAGGGAATGCAATCCCACACTACAGCCTTCAGTGTGAGAATATCAAGAGACTGTTGCATTCAGAAGTTCAGAATAGCTCTGCTCTTTATAAAAGAATATGAGGAGCCCCCTAATAAGGCCAATTCATTAGAACAAGTGTTTGTTACTAAAACACACCACGCAGGACCACAGGGATCCGAGCCAGACAGCACGGCAATTAAAGTTGCCTCCCTTCCAAACGCAGGCGGCCCACCAACTCTCACCCACGAGTTCTGCTTTGTTTTCCTATTAGAAATGTGATTGAAGAATGCACGTTCATAATTTGTTCATGAAGCAGAGGACAAGTAACTCTCTGGTTGCAACATCCTTTTATACACTTTAAATTGGAATTAAAAAAAAAAAAATCAGGTTGCTTGTGTGTCCTTTCTAAAGGCGCGGGAGGAGCAAAACCGTCTTACTCTGGGAATATACCTTGGTGCCCAGAACACATTGCCTAGTTGCATTTGAAAAAATGCTCAGTGAGAGACCATCCTCCAAGTATCTAAAATCACAGTGGTGGAGGGTTTTTTATTTTAATCCCAGCATTTACAGAAAACACACACACACACACACACACAGCCTGCAGTGACACCTTTCCCCTCCCCTTTGGTGCTCTGCAGAGCTTTGGAATGAAATTCATAGCGACTCAGGACTGTTGCTGGCAAGGAAAACCCCCTGCCTATGAGACAGAAAGAGGGGCGGGGAGGGCCATTGTGGCTTTCCCTCCTGCTCTCTTTTTAAATCCAAATAATATTTGTACTTTGGGGGGAGGGTGTGAAAAAGGGATCAAGATATGAAGCAAGGCAGAACCCAAAAAGCGAGGGGGAGAATAAAGCTCAAGGAGAGAGACTAGCTTTGGTCCGAGACAGGGCCTACATCACAGGTTTCAAAAGCATCTTTTTTCAGTTTCACAAGCCACAACCCCCTTGATGAAAACTAGTTGCGAAATTCAGTGCCTGTTAGGCCTCAGCTAATTAGAAAAAATGGGCTTTTTTTTCTTTTCCTTTCTTTCTTTAGCACCTTTTCTTTCAAGCATTTAGTCTCAGGAGGGGGATCCAGGCTCTTGGCCGGGCTGTTTTGAAAACACGCCTTTGAATGCCTCTCCCTAATTCACGCCTTTTGTTTTTCAGCTTTTGTGTTTGCCAGTTTGACCATATAACGTTATACATCTGGTGTATAGCTTGTTGGGGGCTTTTTTCTCCCAGGGTTCCTATGCATTCCCTATAGGACCCTCCTGAGCTTCAATTTGAGCGATCGTGTAACATAAAGGGGGTAAAGGAGAGCCTAGGAGGCTGGGGAGTTGGGGGAAGGAGGGAGCAGGAGAGGGGAGGAGGCCCGGGGGAGACAGAGAGAGAAATGAGTGAAACATAAAAAAAAAAAAAAAAAAAAAAAAAAGTTGAAAAGAATTCTTTTGCTCTCTTCTTTTCTTCTCACTGTTGCGACTGGACCCTGAGTCAGCCGGCGACAAGGCCTCGGTGGGAAAATGACGGGGCCACAGAATAGATAACTCATTGGAATTCTGGCAACATATTCGTAAATAAAACAAAAGTGGGGAGGCGGGCTGGGGGAGGGCGTGTGTTCCTGGGGAAGCGCAGAGCTGCACAGGGCAGGGCTAGGAGGACATTTCCAGGGCCGGCTCCCTGCCTTGCCTCTTGCAGGGGAAATATAAGATGGTCAAAGGAAAGGAATCCAACAGTTTTGCCCAGGCTTGTTTAGCAAAGCTCTTGCAGCTGGAGCTGTTTATTATTGCAGCTAGGAAGATGCTCTTCCAAACACACTTCCCAAGCTGAGAGAGCAGAAATCATCTATCTTATTTCTTCAGAGCCTGCACGGTCTGTGACTCAGAAAGGGGTTTCTGTTAAAAGAGGAACATACTTGAGCGTGGTTATTTTTTCCCCAGCTCCTCAAGAAGAGGCTTCCCCCAGATTTAGTTTGCAGGTATCTTTCCCAACTCTTACCTCCCATGCACACTTTTGATAAAACAGCTTGGATACCGCTTCTTGGAATGATGATACTGATGTAAGTTTCCTGACTTAAAAGCTCCCAGTCGTCTAGTGGATTTTGTTGCTACTGGTGCTCACTGATGGGTAATCTTGTGGATGAGCTCTCATCTCAATTTCCCCATCTGCAAAATGGACATATCTTAATATCAAAGTCACAATTCTTAGTTTTCACATACCCGGACGGTTCCTCTTCTAATGAGTCTATTTCATATTTTTGTTTAATATACACACTGTGTGTGTGTGTGTGTGTGTGTGTGTATCTGTGAGTACATAAAACCCATTATAAAGATACAGTGTATATTTTGGTGGTTGTGATTTTTGTATGTCATCCAACTGCTCTAGAATAACTCTGCAAGCTTGATTTTGGTTGAAAGAAAACCTAGAATAAATAGGAAGACAATATGTTTGTGGCGGTTGTTTAAAGCTAATACCAGCAGCTTTTTCTTTTCTTTACTGCTGAACAATTTCAAAAGCAATACTAGGCATGAAAGCAAAACAAACTCATTTCAGTGCAAAGCTTATGAGTTATTTGTGTTTCCCTGAATTTAAGGAGGGGGTGGATGAGTAGGAAATTTGTTTTAAATATAGAAATGGGGAAAATACAACAAACTCCACAGACTATCTTGGAAGTTCTGCAGCTTGAAGTGCAGAGTTTATATCAGATGTGATGTAACTTGTGAGTATAATTTTCAAAAATAGCTGAAGAATACACGGTGAGAAATCTTACCAAAAATATCATTTTCCCCAATATATTTGTAACTCAGGTTACCAGCTGATTAACCCCTTGAAAAGAGTTTCTCTAGGTGGAAATCTATATCCCTGTCTGTTCTTAATCAATCCAGCCACATGACCAATAACGTGGATGCAAGGGTTAACACAATTAAATTAGCAAATGTTTGGAAGGAAATGGCAAAATTGGTTTTTAAAAAGATGTTTAACAAAGACATTTTGCTGTTCCAATCAGACACATCATTATACAATAGGCTATTTTCAGGAATCTATTTTTTCCTAAATGTTAATCAGACCAGAAGAAAGCGCCTGTTAGTCCACATTGAGATATGCCGTAATTCCCTTGGAAAAGTAACTTACCTTAGGGAAATATTTTGCTTCACAGAAAAGACTGTTTATTTACTCTGAATTCTTTCCCTTGCAAGGTTGTTGTCTGGTTTTTGTTTTTGTTTAAACTGGTCTCAGAACATGGAGAAGTAGGACCATCGTCAACTGAAACAAAAACAAAACAAAACAAAAAAACCATGGACTTGAGCTAAAATTCTTAAATGAATTGTTTAGCTTCAAAATGTAAAACTGTCCCAGCAAGAATGTCACAAAGTGTAAGCACAGAAGGATCTGTATTTTACTGAAAACATTCTTTATATAACACCCAAAGAACACGAAAAGAACGAGCCACCCTTACTTATATTACAATGTCTGTATTTGTTATCTTTTCAAGTGTGCTTAACAAGTTGATACCATTTTCTAAAGGATTTTTTAGTTTGAGACTCCTAACTCATCCACCTGCTCTCCTAGGTCACAACTGTAAGTCCAGAAAAAGGCGTGCTTTATGTTTCTGTGAAAACTGGCTTTATTTCTAGTTATAAGGGAGGCTGAACTTTTAGGCAAACTTGGTGCCAGGTAGCAGCAGCAGGAGCAACGTGAAAAAGAAAAATGGCAGTTACCCACTTAAGAAAATAACATTCTGTTGATCGACAAACACTCTTTAAATTTTAGCTATTAACAGCTCTTACAGAAACAGGAACTGCCAATAACAAACTTGATTTCTAATGTCCCCAAGGTAATAATAATCCACTAATTTGACTATATCCCAGCTGGCCTATACAGCAGTTTCTATTTGTTGCGCTTTTTTTTTTTTTTTTTCATCAGGGAAGACTTATCTTTCTTTGGGAAAAAAAAATGCTGGGGGGTATGCTGTAAAGTTAAGAAGGAGTGTGGAGAGGAAACACATGGAAATTTAATGTGAAAGTTTCTTGTTGCAATAAAGCTGTTAGGTTTGGCATGTAGACTGTTATCAGATGGTTCCTTTGACATTACTTGAGCCTTTCAGTAAGTAAGACAAGCCTGAAGGATTAGGTTGTCAACTTCAGCCTGTCATCTTTGAGCGGAAAAAAAGAATTGCTTTTCTTTTTCTTCCTTTCTTTTTCTTTTTTCTTTTTTTTTTTTTTTTTTTTTGTTTTTTTCAGGTTGCATCTTCCTTCACCAGCTTTGAGCTTTGGAGACCGCAGCAGAGGTAGTTAATAGAAGACAACCTCAGGCCCACATTGATCATGGAAGTCTAGCTTTTAAAGATAACTGAGTCAACCAAGCTGTAAGGCTAATCACCCTGTGCAAGTATGAATTTATCTAAAGAGGATTTCATGTGGAACCCCCGGAGCCGGCCGCCAAACGGATGACTGCACACTTTAAGAAAGTTCGTGGGACTTTTCCCAATCAACTGTCAGGCCACATAAAGGGTCTGGAACGTGCTGACTTAAGCAAACAATATTTAGCCATCTAAGGATACCATAAGGCCCAAGATTTTGCTTTGTTGGTGCTGACAGGAAATATTGATACGTATCAAGTAACACTCCTGATGCAAAAAGGGAGATGTGACTCCTTTCGGTACCATCTCTATTTAGGAAACTGTCTTGTGCTTTAAAAGAAAGCACAGGTGGGGGCAGGGACAATGTCAAATCCAGCACTTCACTGGGTACTTTTCCAGCTTTCCTGGGATCACAATTTCATGAAAATAGGAACTGAGCTAAAGTTGTCTCCTTAAAAAAACAAAAAACAAAAAACAAAAAACAAATGTATTGGAATTTGAATTTGCAAAATCTCAGGATGTCTAGCTGACAAGTGGACCCTGCCCATAACCCCAAAACTATTCTTTAAGTTTATTAACCTAGGAAACCTGTCACTGATTAGGTTCGGGTACATTTCTCAGCTTTTACAATAGTCTATATTAGAACTATCTGGTTACAGAGTCTAAAAAGTAAATAGAAATATGTGGCTATTAAGTCGCAAATCCCCTAAACAGGACATATGAGTCAAAACTCGATTTTTTGTGAGAAATAATGTCTGTAATCCTACTGACTCATCACTTCTAGACATTCACGGCTTTAATTACGGGGAAAAATTTTAAGTCCTATCTTGGAAAAATTTGATAGGGAACACTGGGCTGTTACCATAGAATAAAGGTTGGGTTGGAGGATTTAATTTAAAAAGGAAAAAGAAAGAACGCTATTTTATCAGAATACTCTAAACATTCTCCATCAGTAATGTTGTGCCTGAGGTGATATCCTTGAAGATGCTGGAGGTGGCGGTGTTAATGAAATACCCATTGGCATTAAATAGCATTTCTAGAATCCTGATTGTAGTGCTAGAAAAAGTGAATTCTGTAACAGCACAATAAACAAGGGGAACTGAGAAAAAAGAACCCGCTCGTTCTTTAAGGAAGATCGCTTCCAGTTAAACAAAGAAATTTAGGGTCGTCTGCTTTTCATGAAAATCACATACATATGGCCTTTGAAATTTGTCACTGAAGATGGTTTTGCTCTAAGGTAAAATTCACCACTTTATAGCTTTTCAGCTGCAAGTCTCTGGATTTTTTTCTTCTCTCTTTTGGCCTGCAGCCCAATATGAATGTATGATCACTAGCACAATAGTTAAACATCTGAGTCTTTTTGAAGTGTCTTCAATGTTACAATGATGTGATGGTTGATTGCCTAGCAGTCAGTTTAGAAAAGACTGCATTCTGCCCCCTAGTGGTAGAAATTAAAGTTTAATGGCTGCTTCATAATATATAATGCCTTTTTTCTCCCCCTCTTTTCCATACGTTAAGGATATAGAGCAGTGTGGGAATTACTGATGAGTTTTGTCATAATCAGTAAAGTGTATATTTTAAACAGGAAAATTTCTAGACTGAATGGACAGGTTTACGAGGCACAGGGTCATTTGATGTATGTTTTGTGTACTCTGCTGTGCTTTGCCAAACAATATACATTACCACTATAAACAGACATTGTCCCTAACACAGCATTCCTTCTGGGAAAATTTTGGGATTTCTTAATAGAAGCTATTAACCAAAAAGGTCATGGTGTTGCCAAAATTATACACACACACACACACACACACACACACACATATTCAAAGAAAGCATGATATATTGTCAGAACTTCACGTCTCTTTTCAGATGACCATTTTTTCGTACAGGAGGCAATAAAAACAATTTGCACTAATCACACCATTTACTACTCCACAGGTCACATTCCCTTTGTGTTCAAGTTCAAAAAAACCACACACACCAAAGGTAAAGAGAGGGTTTGTGACGTCCACAAGATTTTGATGTGGGAAGCATTGATCACGTATAGCTTTTTTTTTCAGCTGACAACAAAGTAGAAGACATTTGCTTGAGTTTTTATCCTGTCCTGGGTTCTTGCTTGTTTGTTTTTCATCTTTAATGTAGAATTCATATATTGCATGCAGGCAAGCATTGGAAGGCACACAAAATCAAGAACCCATGATATAGGCATCATCCCATGAGTGTGTGTTTAGATCTTGCAGAAGTGAAACTCCATGTTGGAGGAAGACGGGACAGACTGAAGAGAAGGAGGAGGCGGCGGCGTCCGTGGAGAGTGGACAGGCGGGACAGCTGGACCATGTGTAACGTGTCAGTTTGCTTCTGTGCCACTATTGTGTTGCTGATGTTGGAATGCAGGGAAGGCGCTAGTTTATTGAATAAGGAGCCATGTAAATTCCAGCTGTCAACATGTGATCACTCCCTCGGACAAAGAGAGAGGTTTTCTCCTCACTCATATTTGATTTCTAGTCACAGCTACACATTTTCCGGAGCCCTCGTTGCCACCAGGCTACATCCGAGTAGCCTTTGGCCAGCCTTCTCTTTTCAGACTGGTTTAGTAGGATTAGTACCTGGCTTGTAAGGGTGTGTTGGCTGGCATTCAAATAACACACAGTGAGAATTAGTTCAAAAAGAATGCTATGGCTGTAGTGATAACAAATAATCAACAGTATTTTTAAAGCAGAATACTTGCTATTGTTTGATTTATTTCAGTATAAAAGGCAAATGCTTTACTCAAGAAGAATAGTCCAAAACAAAAATTCATACACTATGTAGCTTTTCTTATTGTGAGGCATGTCAACTGGGTTGTAACCATGCCAATCTATGCCTTTCTTTAAAAACTGCTCCAGGGAACCACAGGTCCGCAGAGGGACAGAGAGACGCTCACTTCTTATCTTGCTGTCTTGCTATCTAGCTCTGTACTCTCGCCATGTGGTTTGAGAGAGACTGCTGACATTTCTGAGATTTTGAGTGGGGTTCTGGGAATCTCTCTACAGACTGGAAGGGGAGGAGGAAGAGGAGACCGAGGAGCGGGAGGAGAGGAGAAAAGCATTCTCTGAGTAAGATCAACTCCAAAGCAGCTTGAGTCTCATGGGAGTTTAATTAGAGGAAAAAAATTCATCCTTGTTCACACAGGCAAAAATTATTCATATCTAGGCGATCTTGGATGCCAGTATTTTTTTTTATAATGGAAAACATAGAACATTTTGTGGTGTGTGGCAAAATCTCAGTCTTTCTCCTTGCTGCAGAATTTCATTATCTTGAAAGAACTCAAAATGCTACAACATTGGAACGGTAAGGCCCCCTTACCCAGGCACACATTGCTTTTCTGTTGCCATGATATGGCACTCCCTGTAACTCTGCCTATAATTTGCAGTAAGAGGACTTTGATGCCTCTTTAAATATATATATATGTGTGTGTCTGTGTATATATAACATATGTACGGATTATATATGTATTTCACTTTAAGTTACTCAACATAATACCTCCATAAATTTCCATAGGGATATTTTCTAGAAATACATGGTTAAACATTGGATGAAATAGAGAAATTTCTGGTGTCAGGGTTGCCTAGAAAAACTCTTTCGACCTAAAAAAAATACATTTTTTAACCTCCATTAATTTTCTAATAAAAATATTAACTCCAATTTCAAAATGATTTGGTGACATTTAGCTATATTGATTTTAAAAGATGTAAAGGTAGCTTCATATTGAAATCATTCCTTGGTCGTCAAATCATTGCCATGACCATCATCTTCATCCACTACTGAATGGTTTGCTGTTGACTAACACATGCTGTGCTCAACACAGGGAAGGGCACACAGATGTAAAAGAGGATGTTTTCCTCGCCTTGCCTGGGATTAGAGT